TGAGGAAATTCTGACATAAGCTATAACATAATGAACCTTGAAGACATTATGCTAAGTGAAATAAGACAATCATAAAAGCACAAATATTGTATGCTCCCACTTATATAAGGTACCTAGAGTAGTCAAATACATAAAGAAAATAACCATGGTTACCAGGGACTGTATGGGGACTTACTGTTTAAAGCATAGAGATACAATTGAGGAAGATTAAAAAAGTTCTGGAGGTGGATGGTGGTGATGGTTGCACAACAATGTGGATGCACTTAATACCACAGAACTATGCACTTAAAAATAGTCAAAATGGTATATTGTATCACAGGAAAAGTTCTTCAGATTCACATTTGCACACAGTTGGCACTGTAATTTCTCCTCGTGAAACTAGGGCTAGACAACGGTCCATCGTCTCCCTCACTCCAATTTTCTGTAGCCTCTAGACAATGTCTAGATGCAATTCTATTTTCACATGATGGATTTAAGGTGATAGGCAGGGACTTCCCTGGAGGTCCAGTGGCTAAGACTCCACGCTCCCAATGCAGGGCACCTGGGTTTGATCCGTGGTCAGGGAACTAGACCCCACAGGCTAAGAGTTCGCATGCCGTGAATGAAGATTCTGCAAGCATAAACTAAAAGACCTGGTGTAGCCAAATAAATATTTTTTTGAAAAAGGAGATCAGCAGAGTTACTCTGCTGCCAGAAAAGTGATTTTTTTTCTTTGAGACCAAACTTCAGCTGCCACCAGACCCAACAAGTCCCCTTGCATTGTCACACATCTGAGCAAGTGGAGGATGCAAAGCCCTTGGAACTGGAATTGAATTCCATTCTCTTTCTTACTTTAACAAAGACAAATGCAAACAACTTCTCCCATGGTAATGAGCAAGACTAGAGATGGATTTGCCTCAAAAAGACTCTGAAACCACCTTTTTAGAATTTGTCTCCTGTCTCTTCTTCCCTGCCGCTGTCTTTTCTTCTCTTTGGAAAGCATCTCTTTTTCTTGAAAGGAATAATACATCCTCCTCAAAGTGAGGGACAGATTTCCCCTCGTGACTTTCAAATTCTTGCTCGCAAATTCTTTGGCCCCGACTTTCCAAAATTTGTCCCGAATTACACTATAGAAGCTCCTGTACCAGAATGTCCCATTTTTTTCTGAGTGAATAAATAAAGATCCACTGAGCAGTCTGCATTTGTTTTTATGTGCTTGCCTTAGTCCCTGAATACTCTTTAGAGTGGATGAAAGGAAGAATTTATACCATGCCGTGCAAGAACAGTCTATAACTCTCATATCTCTGCAGACTCGTGTTCGCAAACAAGGCAATGCAGATATTTATGCAGAGAAACAGAGCAGCGTGCATCTTCAAGAGTGGTTTGGTGTTTCTCTGTTTTTAGACACGTCTAATTTCCAAAAGCAGATGAGGCTCTAAAGTCTCTTTTTGAATTGTTTTGCAACCCCAATCTGTGGTAGGATTATTCAGATGATTCTTTTCATCTCTTTAAAAAAAAAAATCACAGGCAAAAAAATGTACCGACTTAGGCGAAGTTAAGAAAACTGTGAAACAGGGTTCATTTTCCATCATTGTTTAATGTCATTTCACAGTCCTTGGCTTCCTTCACTCCTGTTTCTTCTTTGACATCTATTTTTATGTCCTCAGTTCAGTTCAGTTCAGTCGCTCAGTCGTGTCTGACTCTTTGCGACCCCATGAATCGCAGCATGCCAGGCCTCCCTGTCCAACACCAACTCCCGGAGTTTACCCAAATTCATGTCCATCGAGTCGGTGATGCCATCCAGCCATCTCATCCTCTGTTGCCCCCTTCTCCTCCTGCCCCCAATCCCTCCCAGCATCAGGGTCTTTTCCAATGAGTCAACTCTTCGCATGAGGTGGCCAAAGTACTGGAGTTTCAACTTTAGCATCAGTCCTTCCAATGAACACCCAGGACTGATCTCCTTCAGGATGGGCTGGTTGGATCTCCTTGCAGTCCAAGGGATTCTCAAGAGTCTTCTCCAACAACATAGTTCAAAAGCATCAATTTTTCGGAGCTCAGCTTTCTTCAAGAGACCCCTAATTCTAACAGGTGGAAAATCTGCTTTCGGGAAAAGCTCTTTGTGGGATATTTACAATATAGAATTCTTTTTTAGGTTATGCAAAAGTTTATTATGCAGTATTAAAATTTAAAAATATCAAATGTAACACTTATTCATGAAAGCGGTGTTGTTGTTCAGTTGATAAGTCGTGTCTGACTGTTGGCAACCCCATGGACTACAGCACACCAGGCTTCCTTATCCTTCACTATCTCCCAGAGTTTGCTAAGTTCATGTCCAATGAGCTGGTGATGCTATCTAACCAGGACGAGAGGATGGAAGCAGTAAACTACTGATATACCACATAAATGATATTTAGGTTTTTAGGCACACCTCGGATAATTTTTAAAGATTCTGAGATACAGCAAATATAAAAAGGCTCTATACTAAAATGTAAAGATAAAAAATATAAAGGACACATACAGACCCATTGCCTAGCTTTAGATATAAAATACTACCTTTGGAGAATATGAAATCCTCTAAGTGCTTCCAATTGGTCATTTAATCCTTGGGCCCTGAGCCCGCCTTCACTGGATTAAGCTTTAATGATTCTCTTGTTTTTCTTCATAGTTTTGCAAGTGTAGATCTATCTATAGACATTATATTGTTTGACTTTGCTTTTTTCATTTTATAGAAATGACCTTAGTGCTTGTGCTTCTGTAATTTACTTTTGGACTTTCCTGGTGACTCAGTGGCAAAGAAACCATCTACCAGTGCAGGAGATGCAGGTTCCATCCCTGAGTCAGGAAGATCCCCTGGAGAAGGAAATGGCAACCCACTCCAGTTTTCTTGTCTGGGAAATCGTATGGATAGAAGAGCCTGGTGGGCTATAGTCCAAGGGGCTGCAAAAGAGTCAGACATGACTTAGTGACTAAACAACAGCCATTTATTTTAGCTTAGCATTGTTTCTTGAAATTCCTATATGTATCTACATAACAAACTAATTCATTCATTTTCACCTTGTATAGTGGTCCATGACATGAGCATATTACATTCTTCAGTTGCTGAACATTTGGTTTGTTTTTAGTGTGAGGAAAAGATCCTTTTTCATTTTTTTCCCACATAAATAATCAAGCAATCAATTACACCACATCACAATACATCCTTTCCTGTGGATCTGAAGGGGCAGCTTTCTCATTTATTCATTTCCATTTTTGAGTGAGTCTTTTCTGAATTCTTGGATATGTTTTGTTTGTCTATTTGTCTATCCCTCCTGTGTTGTGCTGTCTTAATAATTAGATCTAAATAATAATAAAAAAGCTAACGTGGGTTGATATTTATGATATGCCAGATACTGTTCCAAGTACTTTTTACCTGGTAACTCATTTACTCCTCATTATTACCCTGTGAAGTTGACACAGTTATTATATGGATGAGGACACTAAGGCTCAGAGAAATAAACTGTGGGTATCTAGGCAGAATTAAAACCCAATATGTACAAGCATATTGTGCAAATCTGACTTGTATGTTTTTACCATGTATGTGTATAAATAGATAGATTGATAGATAGATGACAGACAGATAGACAGACATAGATATATTTTTTCGGTTGCATTGGGTCTTGGTCGAAGCATGTAAGCTGAGTAGTTGCGGCAGTGAGCGGGCTTAGCTGCCCCACGGCTTGCGGATCTTAGTTCCCTCATCAGGCATTGAACCCCTGTCCCCTGCATTGGAAAGCAGATTCTTAGCCATCGGACCATCAGAGAAGTCTCCTGACTCACATTATAAATCATGATATCTGGCTGGGCAATAGCTCTTCTTAAGGAGTGTCTTGGGTATTCCTAGTACTTTGCTCTTCCATGCAATTTTATAAACATCTTGCTAAATTATACACAAAACTAAAGCTATTAAAAATTTCCCTGGTTCTAACAAAAAAAATCCAGGCCAGATGATTTCACTGGTAAATTCTATCAAACATTTAAAGAAGAATTAATACCAACCCTTCTCAAGCTCTTCCAAAAAAACAGAAAAAGAGGGAACTCTCCCAAACTTTTCTTGCCAAAATTACCTTGATACCCAAACCAGATGAAGACACTGTAAGAAGAGAAAATTACAGGCCAGTATCCCTGATAAAAAATCCTGATTAAAATATTAGCAAATTGAATTCAGCAGTACATTAAGTATCACACACTACCACCAAGTGGGATTTATTCTAGGGGAGTAAAACTGATGCTTTTGAACTGTGGTGTTGGAGAAGACTCTTAGGAGTCCCTTGGACTGCAAGGAGATCCAACCAGTCCATCCTAAAGGAGATCAGTCCTGGGTGTTCATTGGAAGGACTGATGCTGAAGCTGAAACTCCAGTACTTTGGCCACCTCATGCGAAGGGCTGACTCATTGGAAAAGACCCTGATGCTAGGAGGGATTGGGGGCAGGAGAAGAAGGGGATGACAGAGGATGAGATGGCTGGATGGCATCACTGACTCGATGGACATGAGTTTGAGTAAACTCTGGGAGTTTGTGATGGACAGGGAGGCCTGGTGTGCTGCGATTCATGGGGTCCCGAAGAGTCAGACACGACTAAGTGACTGAACTGAACTGAACTGAAGAACGGTTCAACATCTACAAGTCAATCATTGTGATATATCATTTTAACAAAATAAAGAATAAAAATCATAAGATCATCTCAATAAATGCAGGAAAAAAATATTTGACAAAATTCAACATTTTTTCATGATAAAAATACTCAACAAACTGGGTACATAGAGAATATACTTCAAAATAATAAAGGTGATATCTGACAATCCCACAACTAAAATCATACACAATAGTGAAAAGCTGTAAGCTTCTCTTCTGAGATCAAAAACAAGAATGTCCACTCTCTCCACTTTTATTCAACTTAGTATTAGAAGCTGCAGCCAGAGCAATTATGCAACAAAAATAAAAGGTATCCAAATTGGAAAGGAAAAATTAAAACTGTCTCTATTTTAGATGATATGATATTTTGTATGCTGTTTAGTCGCTTCAGTTGTCTCCAACTCTGTGCAAACCCAAGGATTGTAGTCCACCATGTTCTTCTGTCCATGGTATTCTCCAGGCAAGAATATTAGAGTGGGTTGCCATTTCCTTCTCCAGATATTATGTACAGAAAACTCTAAAGATTCCACCAAAAAGCTGTTAGAACAAATTTGAAAATTCAGTGAAGTTGCAGTATATAAAATCAATATACAAAAATCAGTTACTTCTCTGCATAATAAAGCTATCAGAAATAGAAAACTGTAAAACATTGATGAATGAAACTGAAGAAGACAGAAATAAATGAAAGATATTCTGTGTTCATAGACTGGAAGAATTAATATTGTTAAGATGTCCACACTCTTCAGAACTATCTACAGATTCAATGCAGTCTCTATCAAAATTCCAGTAGCATTTTTCACAGAAGTAGAATGCTGAAGTTTGTATGGAACCACAAAAATCCATGCACAGCCAAAGCAACCTTGAGAAAAACAAAGCTGATGGCACCATACTTCTTGATTTCAAACTATATTACAAAGTCACAGTAACCAAAAGAGAATCATATCGGCATTAAAATAGACACATAGATCAATGAAACAGAATACAGAGCCCAGAAATAAAGACATGCACATATGGTCAACTAATTCATGACAGGGGAGCCAAGAATATACAATGGTGAAAGGATAAACTCTTCAATAAATGGTGGTGGGAAAACTAGAAGAGAATGAAACTGGACCCCTATTATACACCATACACAGGAATCAACTCAAAATGGATTAAAGACTTGAATAAAAGACCTACAGCCATAAAACTCTTACAAGAAAACACAGTAAGCTCCTTGACATGAGTCTTGGATTTGAAATCAAAAGCAAAGGCAACAAAAGCAAAATAAAAAGGTTTGGGGGGGTGGGGACTACATCAAACTAAAAAAAAAAACCCCTCTGCACAACAAAGGAAATGCTATGATGCAGTTCATGGGGTTGCAAAAAGTCAGACAAGACTGAGTGACTGAACTGAACTCATGACTGCAATTATTTTTCAATATATCAAATGCATGCTTAAACTTACACAATGAATGTTATATGTCAATTATATCTCAATATAGCAGGAAAATTATTTTATTAGTATTGTATTGAATCTAAATTTATGTGATTGAGTCTTCCTAACCATTAACATTACATTTCTGTCTGTTTATTTAGGCTTTAATAATTTATTTTTAGCAGATTTTATAATATTCTTAAAATTGCACATCTTTGGTTAAATATATTCCTGCAGACCTTATCTTGTTTATGCTACTGAAAAGGGTGTCTCATTTTAAAGTTACATTTTCTGTTTGTTGTTGTTTAGAGGAAACACAATTGACTTGAAACAATTTTTGGCTTGCTTCTGGCAATGACAGAATAAAAGAGACCAGATTTACCCTTCCTCTTCAAATAACTAGGAAAATAGACAAAATATAGGAAACAATGGTTCTCAGACATTGTACAATGAACAGCACAGGAAAGTGATTGCTGAGAGATAAAAACAAGTGAGGCGTGCCCAACGAATGTCTCTGGTTACTGTCTGGGAGTTTCCAGACCACAGTGAAGGGAAAGGACACCCAAACAGAGGTCAGCTATCTCTGAGCGGAGGAGACAGAGTTCAAAGTTGAGGGAGGCAAAAACACGGATTTTAGGGAAATGTATCACAAGAGGGAACTACACAGAGGTATGGAAATGCATGGGGTATTTCCTCTGATGACAACAGAATCACAAATCAGTGGCAGAGAGCTATTTGAAAAATCTCCAAATGTTAAATAACTCATGAGTTAAAGGAGAAACAGACCCAAGATCAAGTTGGAGAAAACTGATGTCTTGACAATATCAAATCTTCCTATTCATGAATATGAAATCTCTCTTCATTTAGTTAGATATTTGACTTCTTCCATCAGAGTTTGCAGCTTTTTTTCTCATATAGATCTGGCTCATAGTTTATTAGATTAATACCTAAAGTATTTCACTTTTTTGGTATTAATGCAAAAATAGTATTATGTTCTTAATTACAAATTTGAATCCTTCAATGCTGGTATGTAGGAAAGGAAATGACTTTTTTAGTATTAATTTATGAATTTACAATTATACAAATTTATATAATTAATACAATATCTTACTAATTATATCAAGATTAACATAAATTTAATAGTAAATGTATTGATTAATTCTTAATAACATATCAATTAATGCCTATATATTATATAATTACTATACTATCAATATATAATATTTGCATAATTATATTAATTAATAGTAATATTATTTGATACTAATATATTGCATCCTCCTACCTTGCTACAATTGTTATTAGTTCCAATAATTGTCATCTCTTTGGAATTTTCTCACTTCCAAGATCTTATTAAGGGGTTTCTTTAGTAAAGAATCTGCCAATGCAGGAGACATGGGTTCGATCCCTGATCCGAGAAGATCCCACATGCTGCGGAGCAACCAAGTCTGTGCACTACAGTTACTGAGCCTGTGCTCTAGAGCCCGAGAACTGCAACTTCTGAAGCCCGTGCACCCTAAAGCCCGTGCTCCGCAAGGAGAAGCCATGGCACCGAAACTAGATAGTAGCCCCCTCTTGCCGCAGCTAGAGAAAAACCTGTGCAATGAAGACCCAGAATGGCCAAAAATTAAAAAAAAATAAAATTATTTTAAAAAGATCTTACTAAATTTCTTGCTTGTCCACTGCTCACTGAAATGGGAATACAAGTTTAAGGTGAAGAGCACCGGATTTCTTCCATTGATATCCTATCAACTTTGCTACTTTTACTGACAAAACTCTTGGGTGTGGATTTTCACCTTTCATTTCAAGCCATCCCTCTCTGACAGTTAAACTGCTAGTTTTCACATCCAACCCCACTCATGTAAAGCTACAGATGGCATCTGCCAAGGTGCTGCTTGTAGTGGGGTGTCTGGACTAACTCCCAAGTATGAAGATCACAGATTTCTACCATTCCCACTCAAAGTTCTAAAGGTTTTTCACGAAAAAATGCTTCATAAGTATTGTTTGTGATGGGTCAATTTCCAGGACCCTGATATATTTTTGAAATTTTGTCCAGTCTCTACATATTTTTAGGAGAATGAATTTAATGATTTTTTAATGACTTCAAATTTTTTTCTTTATCATTCTTGTCCTGCAGTTTCACAATAACTTATCTAGCTGTAATTTTATTTCTACTTTTTCCCACTTTGGATTTTTTGGTCTTGTGAATCTGAGAATTGTTCTATCATTTCTGGAAAATTCCCAGCCATTATTGTACTTTTTCCTTTTGGTTTGAGATTTAATTGTTTTGGGCATCTTGATTGAGATGTAATTCACTATCTTCTCAAATTTTGTTCTACCCTGATTTTCTATTATTTCCAAAGCTAGAAGTTGACAAACAATGATCCATGCTCCAAACAAGGTATGTTGTCTTTTTGTAAGTAAAGTTTTACTGGAAAACATCCAGACACATTTGTTTACATGACTATCTATAGCTGCTTCGCACTGCAATGGCAGGGTTGAGTATTTCTTGGAGTATTTTTCAGAGTACCATTTTGCACGGCAATGACAGGGCTGATAGAGCCCTTGTGGCCCATGAACCCTAAAATATTTGCTACCTGATATTTTTACAGGAACAAGTTGCCCCCTCCTGTCCTAAACCTCCCAATCTGACATGTGTTCTACCCCCCACCCCAATATATTTTCTTCATCTTTAAACTCTTTCATTCCTACCTCCTCTTTGCCTAGGTGGCATTCTTAATTATTAATCTATCTTCTGATTTACACATTCTTTCTCCAATTAGCCTAATCTTATGTTTAAAGCAATTCCTAAGTTCAATTATTATATTTCTCACTTCCAGAATGCCAATTTCTTTTCAAATTTCATATTGAATGTTATACAACTTGATGATGGGCCTCCTTCGTGGCTCAGCTGGTAAAGAATCTGCCTGCAATGCAGGAGACCCAGGTTCAATCCCTGGGTCAGGAAGATCTCCCGGAGAAGGAGATAGCTTCCACTCCAGTATTCTTGCCTGAAGAATCCCATGGACAGAGGAACCTGGTGGGCTACAGTCCATGGGGTCACAAAGAGTCAGACATGACTGACTGACTAACACACAAAACGCACAACTTTATGGTACTTGCTATATGCTTCTAGCTTCTTGAGTGTATTAAAGACATAAAACTTACATATTCCTGGGGTGAAAATTCTAGTTCTGAAATTCTTCACTTTGTTATTTCTCTTGACTTTTGCCAATAGTGTTCTACTCCCTTGTGTTTGGTAAATGTTTTTGTGAGCTGATGCTCCTTGGAAACCTTTTTCCTAAATGCGAGGCTTAGGTTTAAGATGCATTCTTTCAGAGAAGATTTGCATTTCTCCTGTCAACCACCTGGGAGACTATCAACTTGATGCTTTAAACTCAAATTTTGCCCTTTTTGGGGTGGTTACAATGGTTATCTGGTAGGACTGAGCTTCATGCATTTTAAAAACAGATATTTTCTTTCTCCTGCTCCTTGCAGAGTGAAGGCTGAGGCAAGCAATTTTCTCTATTAATTGTCTATGAGATGTGGGATTTTTTAATACAATCCCCTTTCTTGCTTTTTATCTAAGTCTCCAATCTATTTGCTCAACCTGCTCTGGTCCTTTCTTTCTTTTTAAAATATTTACTATTTTTATTTTTGGCTTTGCTGGGTCTTTGTTGCTGTGTGGGCTTTTCTCAAGTTGTGGCAGGCAGGGACTACTCTCATTGGAGTGCGTGGGCTTCTCATTGTGGTGGCTTCTCTTGTTGTGGAGCTTGGGCTCTAGAGTACAGGCTCAATAGTTGTGGCACATGGGCTTAGTTACTCTTTGGCATGTGGGATCTTCCTGGATCAGGGATGGAACCTGTGTCTCCTGCATTGGCAGGCGGATTCTCTACCACTGAGCCACCAACCTTTGTGTATAACTACTGGAACTCAGGTTCCGGGTCACAGGGAATTGGCTAACAACCCAGAAAAAACTTCTGAACTTCTGTGGAATTGTACTTTCACATAATATGTGGCCTTTGCAGGTATTTTTTCACTTTCATAACAGCTCAGGTGTACATGAAAATTAGATGTTTTATTTGATCCAGGATTTTAGACATGCTATATGAGTAAGTGTT